CTCTCTCTCTCTCTCTCTCTCTCTCTCTCTCTCTCTCTCTCTTTCTCTCTTCCGCCGCTCGCGACTCCGCTCTTTCGCCCTTGTCCCGGTCCTTCGAGGGCTTGTCCTAGGACCGCTAGGTCCTATAAACGTCCTTTTCTCCCTGCCCCTCTCTTTCGCTCTTCCTATCGCTAGTCACGATCATCTCTGTTTCGCTAATTTGCGAAAGCACCGTATGCACCTCTCGGCCCGATTGCTCGGTTCGAAAGTTATTATTGGTGCACCCGCAAACTGCAAATAGCCCCTCGATCCTCATTGTAGATGATGGATTTGCGGATCTTCCTAATTACACGTGGATTGCATTATCGTGGCGCGAGAGTGTCGACTCTGTGCGAGTATAATTGGAATATTCAGTTGAGATTATCGACGGGATTATCCGCCGCGATTGTGTGTGCGATGATAGTGCGCGGAGTGGCAACGGTGATCGCTTCAAGATTTAAAGTAAACACAGTTTAAGTAAATGACGAGATAATGGCCCCTATCGTCGTATAATATTGAAAAAGTCTGACAGCTTGAGTTTGGACCAATTACCCGGAGGTTTCCACTCGAGAGCTGTGCACGGCTCCAAGAGAAGCCGTTCACTCATTAAATCTTATATCAACATATAAAAATTGTATCATACAAAAGAGATTTCAAACGCGTTAAAAAGGCCACAGCGACACGCGGTTGTCAAGCACCACGAAGTAACCGATAACTCAAGACGGATGTAATTCGTGAAATTGAAGCGTTATACGGGAAACTTGATCCGAGCGATCGAGAGAGAAAGAGAGATCTTGAGCAAGCGCGTCGCGACGTCGCGACGCGGCCGAAGGGATGACAAACCCAAATATATGCATAGAATATTTTCACGCCCGGTGCACCGGACTTATTGCCAGTGAAAAATATTTCGGCCGATTGTTCTACTCGTCCGGCGAAACTGCCGTTTACGTTTTTCCCAGCGTTACAGCCTGGCGAGGGGGCCTGGAGGTTTCCCCTGGAACGAGACTCACCCGAAAATCGAAGCGCCAAGTTTTGTTATTCGCTCAAGTCCCCTGAAAATTAAATTAGCGAAATATCCCGGTAATTAAGCCTAGTGGAAAAAAATTTCCATTAAGGAAAAATCTACTTGGGAGCCCTCGGAGACACCGCCCGTAAATTATTACGCCGTTAACTCCGGAGCACCGTGTATACCGCGGGGGAAAAAGAGGTGCCCGCGCATAAATTTCTTGGCAAATTCGAAACGGGAGCGCGAGCATTTGTCCGAAAAATTCTTAACAGCTACGTCACGCGCGCGTCACGGACGCGGAATGTTAACGATTGCGTAAAATAATTTTATTTCTATCGTAAACAAAATTACGCCCATTAAGAACGTTGTACAACGTTTCGTCATTCGGTCGTACGTTTTATACACGTCGTATTCCTCAAAGAACATGAAATAAACGCATAAAACGCGCATTTCAGACTATTAAAACGCGCACATGAAATAAAGCGCTCATTTGATACGCGTTATCGGTTACGTTACTGTTACGATGAATAAACCACTAGTCCGAGAAAGCATGCAAACAAAGTGCCATAATTAAATAACATTTTTAGCGCGCGAAAAGAGATGGCACGCGTGTCCCGTTTAACATATAAATTTTTAGGCGGTTTTTAATGCGTTAAAATAGCGCGGATATAAATATAAATAAACAATGTCGCGCGTATACATAGATACAGAATAGAGTGGAGGAAAATAATTCAACGGTATTAATGTTGCACGTGAATTATATATTAAAAATTACTGTGCATTATATTGTCACCGGACTTATATTGCTCTTGAATACTTTCCGCTGTTTAAAACAAGGTGCACGATTGTTCCTCTTTTTAACGTTAATAATATCGATAATAAAGTGCGTTAAAGTCGCGAATAACCGCGCCATTGACACATGAACGTTAACTATCGGGACCATGCATTATTAATAGAGTGAGCGGAATTACAATACTAGCGCTGCTAGTGCATCGGTTGCAACGCTGTCAATAACTTTCATTGTTCGCCCTTTTCTTCTCCCACCTCGTACAGACCGCAAACTTTGTTGGCCGGCACAGCTTTATCTGAAACAACGCTCGCATTATATATTCGAGCTCTTTGTCGCAAAAATGGCACGTGTCAAATCCGGGCAATAATCCCATATTTTCCCAACTAGACTAACGATTTACCTCGCGACTTACTTTAGCTCGTCGCTGTCACAAGGATTGTTAACTTTTATTACGCAAAATAGTTGACTTGGGACAATCCTTTCGTTAGTATTACTGCAGTGCAGTTTTCAAAATTTGACTCGAGCCATCTGCGAGATAAAGGGCTCATTTATTCAACACGCGACGGTATGCAAACCGACAATTTCATCGATTTCCTTTCGCTCCGCCGGCAGGATGTAACGGCGTCTCCGCTCACATTTAATATTTAGACGCGCCGCGAAGAAGAGTTACGCGAAGGCGACACAGTAGCTGCAAATATTCCTCCCCCGTGAAACCATATCCGGCATTTTCCTTTAATTTAGAGTCGCGTCGCGTGAGAGTCAAATCAAAAGGATGACCAAAAAAAAAAGAGAAAGAAAGAGATTCGTAAGAACAGTTCAATATATCTTGAAACCGATGCCCGACATCGAACATTGAAAATTGGAAAGTCTCGCAAAATGGATTCGTGCAAAATCCTATTTTAATTCACTCATCCCCCCCATAAGAGACCCTTTTTATCGTTTCCCATCTCCACGTCAATCACATAACTGTCAGTGAAGTTTTTCGCTTAACTTGTGCTTTGCGTCACGTCTCATTCAATCGATTCAAGCGGCGGAAAAAGCTGCGCGTTCGCCACTTCCGCAAATTCGTGCGGAATTCGAGAGTTTTCACTTTTTGCCCGTAAGAAGAAGCTACGTGATCAAGCGGCCCGTTCGATCGGCGTGATCTCGCGGATTCAGCATTCGCTTCCCGGACTGTACCGATAGGTACGACGACGCCGTAACGCCCCGAAGACGGCTATTAGCTTATCAGCGGATCGAGCTGATAGCAGCGTGGCGCGCGCAACCCTAAAAATAGAATGCGAATCCCGATGGGAGTCGATGCAACCGCCTGGCTTCTTCGAGAGAACCATTTCGATAACGCCTCGTAGGGGCACAACAGCCCCCGTTCCATCGATACATTAATTATTTCTGATCGCTATCGAGGGCGTTGTACCGCCTCGGCCTACAACGCCTAAGGCCTGTTATACAATACGTCGTATGTCGCTGTCGGTTGTCGGGACGTAGCCGATGGTCCGATGAGAAAATTTCTTTAAAAAACAAAAATACCCGACATACGACGTATTGTGTAACAGGCCTAACGCTGGTTCTACAATAGACGCAGCAAGTCGCAAGAAATCGACCGATCACAGCCAAATGTGAGAAGAATAATCGACCGATTTCTCGCGGCTTGCGACTGCGTCTATTGTAGAACCAGCCTTAGACCCTGGATTTATAATACGGGGCGGACTGCGAAAAAATCTTACGACAAGAGTGAGTCGACGGTGACGGAACGCACGCTGACTTGACAAGCTAGTTTTTATAGTAATACTTGTATCGGATCTTTCAATGTAAATTTTAAACCTGCCTAGCGCACTCTTATCCGATATTTTCTCCTCATTTTATTTTTCCGCCGCACCTTAACGCAACATCCTACTCCAAGTGACAGCTTTTATAATAGTGAAACTAGTAAAGGATTTTTCGACTCAGTCTAGTCCGCACCAACCGTAAATAAGAGGTGAGGCGGGTATTACATAACACCCTGTATAATAGTAAAACTAATCAAAAACATTATAGACCAGTCTTTTTGTCCACGTTAATATTTGCCGGTTTGGACATAAAGCGGAGTTATAATTATGTTAACGGAATACGGTAGTAGCGTTGGGAAAAGATGTGGCCGCGTAAAGTGAATTAAATGTCATCTGCGCTGAAACTTACCGATCATCTTGGGATAAGGCAGGTTGAGGTTGTTCATAATTCGGACGAACTCCTCCAGCGACTTGGACAGTCTGGGATTAAGGGCTCGCTCCTCGGCCACGGTGGTGACGGTTCTGCCGTTGTAATCGTGTGCGGGGTATAGCCGGTAATTTCGCGGCAGCGTCAGGATCTTCTCGTGAACGGATTTGTACAGGATCGCGGCGGATCCACCCTGCGCACAGGTGGCACGGTAATTCGAGCGCACGGCAATTATGTCATAAAGCTACAGGACTTGTAGTACACGAGAACTTGAGAGCGAAAGACTCGATAAAGAATAATTAACGAGTGAAAATAAGGGAGCAAAAATTTAATTAGTTCGATCCGATGAAAGCCGGAGTTAGGTATTCGAAGTTATTTGGAAAAAAAATGTGTTAATCTTAGCAAACTTTTTTTCTATAAGAAATTATTCTCGCGCGTCGAAATCGATACTCGGAATTAGATTAATATCAAATACGCAGTTAAATTGGACCATTACGAAATAAATCAAACAAGCGAGATGTTGGTAGTCCAATAATTGTAATCTAAAATGTGAAGTTACATATATACCATTTTCCACCTTGTCCTGATTACAATTATTGAATTGTTCGTAACTCTACTCTGGGAAAAATTTTGACCGTTTTATTTTGTAATTAAGCAACTTAACATTTCGGCTAGTGCCTCTTAAGTGAAAATTATCTTTGCGTTACTGAACATCGACAGAACTAATTGAGAGAATTGATTAGTATTACTTAAAAATCTTGGATATAGATGGAATAGCTAATTGCAATTTTTAGTTACGCGGGATAAAATTCATAAAAAATTAGAGTTACGAACAATCCAAATAATTCGATTGCTAATTGTGGGCCCCAAATTGGGCTTAACTGTCTTTTCCTTCCCAGAGCTCGCTTGTTTGATTTAAATCAATATCTGTTCTGTTAGGTACCGTCCAGCAATAAAACGCAATGTGAGACGAAGCATGAAGAATTTTGCCACGGGCGAAAATAATAATTTCGCTCGGTTTCCTGTGTCGAAACGTACGTCGTTTAAACCGAGCTTTCGATGGGAAGAAAGGTCGCGGCACGTTTGTAAAATGCACCGACGCGCGGTCGAGCACGATGACGGACGGCTATTCATCACGCGAGAGCTGCGGAGAAGTCTTTCATATTCCCGATGATATATCGACGTTTACTTGCACCACATACGACACGTAGGGAAAACGTTATTGCGCGCGTCCGTCGAACGTTTCGACGAGAATTTAGGATGCCGCCGTGTCTGTTTCGGGACGGTATCGATCGTTGATTAGCTATGACGTTCCAAATAAACCATTTATCGACGTCCGACAATTATATCGACGACAAGTCGGCGAACGGCACTTCCGCTCCGGAAGAAAGAACCACTTGTTTTTTAATTAAACGACGCAAGGGAGACGCAACTCGCCGGCTGAAATTAATACTTGGGTCAATGAACTCGGGAGTGCTGGTCGATCAATCTAGGAAGATTTTCATGAGTCACGTGCATTCCCCGTCTACACGGTGTGCGCACAATTATTGCACTTTTTCACGCCTGGATTTTGTTTGACAAATTTTGGGATTTATCTCTCTGCGAGAGAAATTTCGATTGCGTTCACTTTTATTCAATTTTCCAAATTTCAATATTGCAAATTTATAATTAAAACTCAAGTCGCGAGTGTTCAATTAAAATAAAATTTATATAAAATTTATACACATATATTATTTATATTTAAATAATATATTAGGTACTGGAATTTATAATGTATATGTATTTATATATATATTATTTATTCATGGTGATTAAATAAAGAGAACTTTTAAAAATTTTGCAGCGCGATTAATCATAATTTCAGAGTCCATACTTTTATCTCAAATCTTCAAACATTTTTCAAATGTCACCGGTTAAAAATAATGCAAGCGAAACAACAGTGCAAACCGCGTGCAAGAGATTGCGTATTCTCGACAGAAAAGCGTGCGTGTGGTTTCCAACTTTACGAGGGAACTTCGCGGATATCGCCGCACATTTAACGCTGAACATGATCGCGTAATTGTCAGTTTCGTTTGCCGGCCAGCTTTTCTGGCCGAATGTCGGAAACAAAATCAACCGTCGAACGAAGTGGCGCGAGTTAACGATGCTAAATCGAGATTTTGCGAGGAAACCCGAGGCTCGGTTCTTCTTTCGATACGGCAATTGAAGACTTTCCAGTTGAGATTTTTCCCTCCCCTCGCCAATTCTCCCCTTTGTAATCGCGAGAGATAACGAGTTGAACAGAAACTTCACGTCAAACGTTATCGCTCTTCGGAACGAAGAAGTACGACACCGTTGTTCCATTTAGGCCCAGTTTCACCAAACATCGCTTAACTTTAATCTTGATTGTTTGTCCCTTTTTAAAGTAACCGTTGGAAAGGGACAAAGAACGAATTAAACTAAGCTTAAAGTTAAGCGACCAAATGCACGGAAGTGGTGCGTAGTGGCCGCGCGTACCCGCAAAGATGCGCGACTTTCCCGGCGAGTTTTCCGACCGGGGCTTACCTGAAAATCAGTTCTGCCGCACCCCCGGATCAAGAGCGCATCGCCGGTGAACGCAATCGCCTGCTCATCGCAAACGTACGTGACGCAACCTGCACAGATATCAGATGGAATATTTACGATATCGCGCTTCACTTCACCCGACCGCCATCCGGCGAGCATCGCGTCGTTTTTCAGGCCAAATATATATTTATCTCTTGGCGGTGATTCGCTTCGCAATCGGCCGCAACGATAAACTGAGCTCGACTCGTTCGTCGGCTCGTTCATTCCATTTGCGATATCGCATTCGGCAAAAAAAAAGAGAAAGAAAGGAAAGAAGGAAGGATGGGAAAGAAAGAAAGAAATTGCGAACAGATATATTACGTTCGCTCGAAAAATATTGGTACGCGGCCGATAGGTGTATCCGACATGGAAAGAGCATGATTCGTATCCCCCGAGATACAAAAAGGGTGGTTTACAGCCGAGCGAGGTAATTGGACAGTTTTACGTAAACGTCCAATAACTTGCCGATAATAGAATTACGACAGCTATTTTTCCTAACAATGTGTTGTAAACAAATAAGAATTCTTCAATGTCGCCGGCGATAATTAACAACGTCAGTGTTTTCTTGACCATACCCGGCATTTTTTAATAATACAGAAAATTTATGGCGAAAAATATTACCCCGGCCAGGGTTTGAGGCGGGTGTCTCGCCAATTCAACCACTGAGGCATATGATAATATTTGTCGCAATAACAGTATAAAGATGTCTACGCGACTATTTCGACCTATTTGATCCCAAACCCTGGCTGAGGTAATACTTTTCGCGATAAATTTTCTGTATTATTAAAAAATGCCAGGTATGGTCAAGAAAACACTAGTGAGTTGTAAAGTCAAGACAATATAATAACCCAGTAAAAATGAACGTAACGTTATAATAGCTAAATTATGCGAGAATTATTTACGTACCTCGCACGTGCACGTGTGTGCTTTGCAAAATATTTGCCGGTTTTCCCTCCTCGCGAAATGCATGCGGTGCATTTGCCACGAAAGAGCTGAAATATCTAGGAATTTAATCAGCATCGTTGGAGTTTTACGGTGTATAGGAATGAAGCTGATATCGAATATCTAACCCGCAGGTATTTAATGCACGCTATTCGCATACTCGGCACGAAAAATCGTGCCTATCGGGCTGGCCCGACATCGAGATAGCTCAGTAGACGCATTCAGGATTTTCCCCGGACAAACGATTGAGTCGCGACGAGTAGCGAATTCGGCGCGATCGATAAGAATGGCCGTATTCCCCCCTTTTTTTTCGTCCCGTTTTGCCGTAACTCCAGTAGCGCGGATACGTGTATATGATAGAAAAGGGAATGTACGTATGCACATGTCCCGGAGCTACTGAATACCACAAACGTTTGAGATCAAACTAGAAGGAAAGCAGTTTATCGTCGGTAAAAATTAACAGTTCCCGAATTATCGGACAGATAGAAAACTTTTAATTTCTCTGTGCTTCCAGAGAATAAATGCGATCAAACATCAGCACAGAGTAAAGCTTATTTTAGCGACGTTAAAAAATTAATTATAAAAATTAATGTCAGTAAACGAGCAGAGAATGCAATGCTCAACTTTTGTTGCTGAAATTCGGCGAAAAAAAATTGGAGCCGATTGTAGAGTTTGTAATTTTTAACAGACCGTTACTTCCCGGACACCGTGTATAAGAGAACTTCGACCCGAGTGAGACTTTCTCAGTGATAGAAAAGGAAATCGATATAAGAACGCGTGCGTTGAAAAAACTACAGAAAATTGCAGTTGCGATATATCCTGGATAGAGAACAGCTCAAGTTGATCACTCCAGGGACTGTATCGCACACACGCAACGTGCGTGTAAAATTCAAAACACAATGCAGTACATGCTCTTCTTTTAAAGATAATGAAAAGGAAGTGAGAAGAGCGCGAAGGGATAGACAATGCTGCAATACCGAGATAAAATTTTAATCTGTTTAAAAAAAACGTTTCTAAAGCGTAAGAAAAATAATTACGTAAAATAATATTAAATTACGAGATGATAATATGTAATATTGAATAAAGGTAAAACAAAATTTTCTACATCAGCATTTAATTTAATTAATGTCCCTCGAAGTTTAAAGGTAAAAAATATATAATTTTCATATTTCAATTTCTCCTTCGGTCTTTCATGTTTCTATCTTTAATTCTCGCCGTCTTCAACGAATAATCCGCGCGTGAAAAAAAAGAGTCCGCGATATATTTTTCAATGCAGTTCTTAACAATTTGCACGCGTACATCTTTCCGACAAAAATTGCAGTCGATCAGATCGATCTGCGTGCTCGAGATAGACCGGCGTTATATATTTCTGCTCTTTCCATCCACGTGGTGAAACATATATACACCGGACCTCGCAAGAAAGTATTTCGCCACTTTTTCTCGGCACCTCAATTAATAAAATAATAGACCGGGCGAACGCGCGATCGATCGTGCAAGAAATGCACCCCGATATCGCGAGGGTGTGCGAGCGTGTTTCTGTAACTTTTCCGCAGCGTTATTAGCCCCGAAACTTTCGTTACACCATTACACGAAAATCGCGTCTCGTATTCATCGTGGGAGCCGCATTAAAAAAATCGCGTTAAACCGGATTACCGAATGCGTCACGAAGATTTACAGAACACGGCGTTCGTTGTGGCACCGGCACTCGTGTCGAAGAGAAAAGCTTGGCTTTAATGGAATTTGCAGTAATTTCTGTCGAGCGAACCGCGCGACTTCAAACACTCGCTATTAAAAGTAAACGCTAAAAAGCGAAATAATTCCCGAAAACGATAAAGATAAGAAAGGTACAAAGGCCCATTTTTCACCCGTAGACTCAACAAGACAATATATCATGTACGTATATCGTAACGCGAAATAGCTCACAGAACATGTCGAGAAAACGCTGAAATCCACGTATGTATCAAATATGATACACTATGCACTTAGCCCCTTATAGGGCGGCGTTGTGCTCTATTTTACCACTCCATGTAGCTGACACATAGGCGATGGTAGGATGCTAGCTAAATGGACAATGGTATAATATTTTATCGCCCGGCAAAAAAAAATAGACGAAAGCAAAAGCTACGTTCCCGACGAAACATCGTTTTATATATTTCGCCAGTAATATGTATAACTTTAATCGCATCGATTGCCCAAGTTATTCTCGACTTTCCGTTTAAAAAATTAATAACTCGCAAAGTGGAGCAGTGTACAAGCGCGACGAAATATTTAGAACATCATCTAAAAATAACAGCATTCGAGTCGTTAAAAAAGAAGCGACGTAAAAAAGCGGGAAATATAATTAATGAGGAGGGATGGTAATCTACGTAAAACTTCCTTCGGGTGTTCTTTACGTATTTATAAATGTTATATAAAACGTATAAATAGCCGCGATCGTGACATATATCAGTTCCGCGCGTATCGATGCGACTCGGCGGAAATAAATATCGATTTGCGTGAAAATTTCGATTCATTTTGCACGAGTTGACCGAAATACCATTTCTCACGGAGGCAAGAGTGTGTAAAGGGGGAGCCTGACCTTCGGTGTGACCCGGGGTGGGCAGCACTCTCAGTTGGTGCCTGCCGAACCGGACCTGATCGTCCGGCTCCAGGAGCACGTCCGCCTTGGCGCCGCTGCTGCGCGAGATCATGGACCTGCAGCCGGGCAACAGGCACTTGAGCCGGCCCGTCCCGGTGACGTGGTCCGCGTGCATGTGCGTGTTCACTGCAACACACGGAAAGATCGCGAAGACGCCAGTCATTGTTACCCAGCTAATGCATAATCGATAAGGGCGGGCCACGCGAGATCGCGATCACGCGTTTCCGTAACAGGACGCGGCAGAATTTGGAGCAACGGCGCACGATTGTAGCGACGGAAGCCGCGGAATTATTCAACGCCAATGATATTTACGAAGGCTCCCGCCGTCGACGCCTATTTGACAAACGATCTAAAGATAAATCCCGACGTAGCGAATGACAGGATTAATCTTTTAAAGACATTTAATGCTGGCGTTTGAAAAGTTCCGGCGAACAGTTGGCGCTTCGACGTTGATTAAAGAGTCTGAAATTAATGTCGAAAGTTCCGGAATGCCTTGCACGTCGTTTTCTAAAATGTCTATACACGTATAAATGCGCGTGGATATAATTTAGCTTTAATAGATAATTAAATTACGGGTAAATCTATTAATCTAATTAGCGGCCTCGCTCTCTTTGCAGGACTGAGTTACAAATAATGCGCATAGTTTTACGGGAGTGGGGGCGGCATTAATGGCGTTTGCATTATCGGAAAACGGAGAGAGGTGCATTATGGAAATGTCCGTTTGTTCGGGACAGAATTGGCACACGCAGAATTCCGCATAAACAAGTGCATACGTTCCACTTAGCCAAAGCGCGGTCTCCCTCGCAAAAACCACTTCGCGGTCTGATAACGCAATAAGTAATAAGGTAATCCTATCAACCCTTATTCGCCATGATATACGACGCCGTAAACTTTGTCCCTTCCCGCCGAGCCGAAAATCCCTTCGCCATTAAGGGCGCAAATTTCGAAAAGGCTAATGCTGCGCAAGTAAGGGCGGATGTATGATTTATCTCGACTCTCAATTTAATGCCAGTTAAAAGTCGAAGCACTTGGAAGAGGAAAGGGCACAAAAGTGCCTTCTCCTCGTATACATATAAATAGTTTATACTCCACGCTTAATTTTGAACAACCTTTGCCTTTCGTATTTTACCCTTTTAAGGATATTTAGTACACGTATATCAAATGTACGCGTAATCAATTAATGGGCGCATGTATCAAAGTTTTATCTATCTTCTGGAAGCTTACAGAGACATTCCCACACGGAGAGAATTTTCTCTTCAAATTTATCCTGAAAATCATGAAATCGTGGGACCATTTGGCACTTTCGAGAACATTTTATGACAGCTTCTTGAAATTTTGCCATACATTTTACTAGTAAAACGTGTACTAAGTATAATTACTAGCAAAACGTATGGTGAAATTTGACAAAAACTCTCCTAAAGTTGTGCCAAATGCCACGTTGTTCCACGATTACATGATTTTCAGTGTCAAGAGAAAATTTCCTTCGTGTACATAGACTAATACTTGCATCGCGCCGTCTTGATCCCTTTGCGCCTGACATTTCGCGAGGTCCCTTCCATTTTACCCGCTCTCTCGCTGTTACATGGAAAAGCAAACAGTTCGCGCGACATTGCTTCAACAGCCGCGCCGCTGATTAGTCAGTCAAACTTCCGATCGAGGGTTCGACTTAATTAATTTCCATGCAGATCCGTCCTCGCGGGTGATAAGCACGATTTCTCGAAATAACGCTCTCGCCGTCGCGATACACCCGGGAATTAGGTATACGGCGAAATCGAAGGGGGCCGCGCGCCCCCTCGAAGCCCAAGTTCTTTATCGAAATTGGCCAAGTTCGACAATATGCCCGGGCGCACTCTCACCGGGTTTATGGTCCACGGGCGCGCTAACCCTCAGGACAATGGCGAAACTATGCGGGGTCCACGGCCGGTCCTTAGCGGCGGCGGGATTGCATGCTAATTCATTACGAAGTTCGGCAAATATTGGTCGGTTAGTAGGATAGTTCGCGATATAACTCCGCGCCCTCGGCTCGTAAATCACGGCACGGGGCATCGCGTAATTGCCGACAAGTACATTTCCGACGATATCGAGTAACGGCGCCGGTAAGATAATACGTTTTGTAGTTAATTAGTATACGTAATTAATTAGTTATCGATTCGGGCTGTTTTACGGGCGCAGTACGTCAATAAATGTTAGGTTTCCTGCCCCCGCGGGATGATTAATTTCGCGCAACGTTAACGCAAACTGCCGGCCTGATAATCGCGCGCATCGAGAACAACTCTTATTTAGCTGCGCGTCGACATGGCCGGGGAAAAACGTTTTCCGAACGCTCAAGTCGCGTCGAATCTCGTGAAACGCCAAAAAAAAAATGCGGAGGGGGGAGGCGGAAAATTGGAAAAATCCTATTACACAAAACGTTGCGGAAGTGGCTATCGATGTAGATTTGGCACTTGGCGAGTTGTGAGAGCTAAAAGAGCAATAAACGTCGACACGCAAAGCTTAACATTCGGTAAATATTCCCGGAAAGTTTCCCCTCCCCGTCCAAATTTCATACGCGCAGTCGAGGCGAACGCTTTCGAGTTTGAATCGATATTTCTTACACTAGTCTAATAATAGCTCTTGAGTGGAACTTTCCCGAAAATGATCGTGTGTACTGTGCCGTAAAAGTGGCGCAAGTTGTGCGGCAAGTCGGCAGGAAACGCGAGGGTATGATCGCATTATTTCATCGAGTACGTCGATTAAAGCGCACTTCCCTAAATTTATGCGACAGGATGATCGAGTAAGGCGCTTCCTCCCTGACGAATTCAGCGTGTCTACGTGATAAAATTCCGAATCTCGCCTCGGCTCGATGGCAAACGGCGACTATATAAACGTCGGCACTGTTTTAACGCACCGCTACTTGGCAAAAATTGCAATTTGCCTTCGAAATATACGGTATAAATAAACCCCGCGTGCAATCTAGGTGGAATGTAACACGCGGGGCACACAATCCCGACTAAATAATATCGAATGGCGCTGGAAAAACTGCACGGCACTCCCGACGCGTTTCTCTCTCGCGCGTCGATTTTCCGCGATTTTTCGCAAACCGCGAAATTTACGGGCGAGATAATCATCTACGCTCAGCTGGCAACTCACGGGCGTATTTCAGCTTCAATCCCAGCTCCTCGACGATTGTTTTGTCACGATCGGCCCATTCGATGACCGGATCAATCAGAATCGCCACCTTATCGTTGATATCGGCCAGCAGATACGTGTAAGTACTGGACACTGGATCGAAAAGCTGGACACATTGTAAACAGATATACTCGTTACTTTCTGGCAATCGTATAAAATTACACTATCCATATTGTACGCAAGTAACGCATTATTCCTGTTATTTTGACGATAATATTCTCGCGATTTGCTCTCTAAAAGTCAATCAGTGAATTATCACTGAAAACAATGTGGGTAAATTAATAGTTACTTTGTATTATATATTGTTTAAACCTCCACACAGATCGCATTACACCCTCAGAAAGGACTTCTGTTACCGAGACAAAAAATATTCTTGACGCGTATATATTTCTCACAACCTCATTTAGTATAAAAATAAGACAATACCAAAATAAAATCAATCATTCTTATTCTCCTCTGTTGAATTAAGAAAGATTGACTTACTATATTGAGACAAGAGTAACTTATAATATATAAATGTAAGTTTATGTATTCTTGCGTTTAGAATAAATTTTCCCTCCATCTTACAACGCACGAAGTTGGTACCACGATATTAGACAAAAGACGATACTATCATTTTATTCTAGATTTTAGAATGTTTCATTTAAGATCAAAATATTCTTTTCTCTATAATAAATATGACTGGCGCTATATCGATCCTATCTTATGATACATTCAAGTGTAATAACATTGGATTCGGAATTTTTTTCTGTGGGTGTAGGCCTTGCATTTGCGCATAAACGCCTTTATTGCACGGAAAGACCGGCTAAGGCAAAAATAACTAAAATTAAAATGTTGCAAACGTCATACGCAATAATAAAGTCACAGAGGAGATAATGAAGCATCACCGCTTTCGGATAACATTTGCCACGCATGTATTTCGATTCCGAGCAAACGAAATAAAAGTGCGACAGATAAGATAATCAATCGCGGACAAAACAAACTGCGTTCGCATTTCGCAACGTTTAACGACGATTTGTACATTTTGAATCCTATCGCATGTTTAATCGCGTCGACCCTCGTGCGCGACATACGCAGGAGGCGAGGGGACAGTGGAAAATCTAATTCTTTGAAAATACACTAGACTGCGCGCGAAACCATTTTTCGCAAACGAAAAACAAAATGTTTCACTGCATTTTTCCCTCCCCTTCCGATGTTAACGCCGCAACGTTCGCTAATCTTGTCAGTGGTGACTCGTTTTTCGGGGGAGATAATTCGGATGCGCGATAATTTTTGGTTCCAGTCAGATTTCATCCGCGTTTCCATCCGATTTCAACTTGGAGCCTACCGAAAAAAAAAACAACAAAACGCGCGTCGCTTTGAGTACAAATACAATTGCAAACGAACAGACATAACGGCGCGATATGTTTTTTCATCGCAGTTTCTTCATTTTGTACATCAATGCGATCCTACCGCTCGCATATTCATTGCGAAAACCAAGTTATTAACGAATTAAATTCATTTCGTTCGGCCCATTGTCACACGGGTGGCTGTATTTGTCGTAGCTTATCACTTTAATGTTACATTTTGCTGCCGTACAATCTCGTTAAGCCGGAAAGCTAACCGACGTAAAAGTCGTAAAAACAATGGCGAATATTTCGCATTCCATACGTCAAGTTGAACTCAAAACCGATTACTTTTCGACCGGTAAATCAAATTTCCGTTCGAACCGTTTCAAACGTCTGCTGAAATTGTAAATGGAAAAAGCTCCGGCAAAAAATAAAACGCGCGTTCGGTTACGGCTGGCCAAATGCCGATTATAAATTAACAATGCGGATTAAAGAACACGACGTTGAAATCGTCGCGGTAATAATAATACTGAGTTAACAAAAAAGAAGAGCGTACAAATTTGTACGAAACGAATTCGTTAGTGTATTGTCGAAGTTTAAGAAAAGTTCCCCGGCAATTTTGTCAAGAAGAGAAATTTGTTATATATTCGTGAAAAAAAAATCCTCTCCCGGGACGTTTCAGTCAGCCGGAGGTACTTGCACTTTCTACGTCCAAATTTTTACAATCCGAGTAAACTCGCAGACGTAAAGTTCAGCGTTTTCAAGGTTATTCCGAATATCCTCTCAAACGCACACGTGAATGCCAATGTTCTCCCTGACCGCGCCTTTCCACACTTTCCCGCAATCCTTTCTTTTATCCCTCGAAATCCGGGATGCGGAGTCGCTTTGTTTTATATGCAGCAAAGGAAAGGCAACGGGGTTTAGGTACTTTTGTTTAATCGCATTTTTCTTTAGCATCTTACAACGTTTCCCTTTTTCTCGAGACGTCGAGTATATATTTATTTTATTTACAACATGACCAAACGCGCGCTTCGCGCGCGCAGTTTGTAGTTGGGCATTGTATATTTTTAAGAATTTCTATATATGCAACGAAGTAATTGTATGCGCAACGTCAATTTAAAATAAAAAGTAATTTATCACTCACTGATACTGATCATTTGAATAAATAAAATAAAAACACAGAACAGATGCTTTATTTTGCACAAGTAACAATTAAATAACATAAAAATGTAAGACACTTACCTTACGATTTCTCCACCGTTGCCCGATGCCTCCTCGGCCTCCTCCTCCTCCTCTCAGATTTCCTTGTTGCACTTACACAACACTACTCGCGAAAATCATCGATCGCGCGAAATTTCCGGCACTCCCGTACGCGATGTGAAATACCGCGAACACACGAAATATTATTAACTTTTGCGTTATCGGTTTCCAAGACTTTCTGTCATACAAATTACTCAAACTAACAACTTGCATTTTTGATTCGGAAGAATAGGATAAATCACTTTCAAATTGGCGATATAAAACGCAACGCGAGCATCGGAAGCATAATCTGCGGCAAAGAAATAATGTAACAACGTGCAATAAGCGACTTTCTTTATTTCCCGCCCGTTCGAGTTGCGAAGAACGACGGAGCGAAGTCGTACAAATTTCTCTTTTTTCCCGAAAATGGAACAGATTAGACGAAATCGACAGATAATTAAAAGCGCGGTGCGTAAACGAGATGTAACCGCGACAAAGTACCACGGTTTTCATTCGTGTTTTAGATGAGTTGGTCTCGTGAAATATCTAGGTATACGTTGATAAAGAACCGTCGCCTCAACGTACAATTCGTTTCTCTTCGCAAGTTGCAGACACAATTAATCGAGGAACGTTACTTGTTACTGATAAAAGTGCACAAATCAATAGCGTTTTATCCATACATTTACCGCGATCGAGTCTTGGAAACCGATAACGCAAAAGTAATAACACGCACAGAGCGACTCTCGCCACTGCCTGCCGGCTCGACGTTCGGCGAGCGAGTGATACCGCGGCGACCTTCAGGTAAACATTGGCCCGCGTAACGTCGTACGTTACCGCGCCGAGTGAAAAACAACAAAAAAACGTTGAGAATTCGTTGGCCCGCTTAATCGTCATACGATACCGCGCCGAGTGAAAAACAACAAAAAAACCTTGAGAATTCGTTGGCCTGCCTACGCAATGGAAAATTCCGTACTTAATATTTTATTGTACATTACTTTGTTCCGTGACTGTTGCTACGTTTTGCGTATTATTCCGCGGACTTATTGGTATTGATTAAATTAACGATTAATTCTGTTCAATCGAGAAAATGTTTCGAAACGAAAATCGTTGTTACTTAAATTCTAATTACTAAGATTAAAGATTTTACTTCAATAATTGATGCATACAAATATATATTTCTAAATTGCAAATCTTCATTCACTATGAATCTAAAAGAGAAGTGAAGCACACCGCGCTTCGAGAAAACCAATCGACATCGCGGAAAAGAGGCCTCAACTGTTCGATATTAACGACATTCGCGCTGGTAACATCTCTTTTTTAAAAAGGGATTTTCCAAAAAATGGGCCCTCTTGATTTTCTAAGTTTTCCAAACATGTTCCTCGATCTTAAACGTACGGTCGAGCTATGAATTCCGCTTTAAAGAGTCACACGTATCGTCAAATGCGGCCGCCAGATGACGCCAGCGTCATCTGGCGGCCACGTCGAGACGATCGAGCTGGACCTGCGCCGGTTACCCTTCGCGCGGGTGTGTTACCTGGCGAAACAGGAAGTCCCTGGAAAAGGGCACGCGCTCCGTCAGAACGTCCGCCATGGCGTGATTGGCCCGCGACCCGTTGTTTCCTCGCAGAATCGTCGGCGACGCCGCCCGGCAGAGATTGCGGATCATGATCACCTTGCATCCGTTCTAATAAAGCTTCTCTCTCCCTCCTGTCGTCTCGTCCAACGTACCGTTGCGTAGCACCGCGCGTGACTACCGACGATTAACGACGACACGCCGCCGCGAGTCCCCCCCGATTTCGTATCCCCCTCGCCTCGAGTTCTGCAACGTTGCGCAACGCGATTATCTTTTAATATCTTTTTAATCGCATCGGTCCGTCGAGTCACGCCGCGTTAATCGCTGAATCATGAAGACCATTTCTGTCAACGAGGGCAATACGCGGGCAATATCGCGCAGACACGCCTTTTTCAGATAAGGTTGCCCATCTTGAAAAACATGATATAATCACGGTCGGTTCCCTACTACCTTGACCGCCACTTCCGGTTAACACTTGTCAACCACAGACTTTTATATACTGCTAGACCGCTACCTTCGTGCTAAAAAGTGAGACGAGAGTTCCGCCATGTCTTGTTAGATTTAAATAAAGTAGAGGAGAGTCTCCTACATAGACATAGTATATCCACAGTATAA